CGGCTAGCCTTGGTGGTGCTTGGGTGTTTTTGCGTTAATTTGCGTGCCATTTCTCGGAATTTAATTCCGATTTGTGTGTGACAAAATTTAATTCAAAATTACATTTTAGAATTAATTTGAGGAAAAATAAAATAAAATAAGACTTAAATAAACTTATTTTTATTGGTGCACAAGCCTAAATTATCCAAAAAAATTATTTTGAACAAAATTAGGTCTTTCTTTATGCTTGAAATAAAATGAGCTATGTCCATAATTAATCTTGCCAATATGCAAATTAATAATGGATTTGACAAATGGGAGTTGGAAAAAAAAAACTAATCATCTAATGAAAATTTTTCCAACTTGCATACTTGTGTAAAATAACAAGATTACATCTTCCAATATGAAGATTAATCAAATTTTACTCACAAGTAATTGAACATAATGGATTTTAATCAACCAAAACATGAAAAAATCCAAACTTTGTTTAACATGGAATTTAGGGTTAGGGTTCCAATCATTTAAACACTTAAAGATTAGAACTTTAACAACACTTGGGAACTCAAAATACAAAATCACAACAAGTTTTTCACACCTTATTGCAATTTATTTGCAAAATTGTGAAAAAACAAGTTTGTGTGATTACTTGGTATATCAACTTAAGCACTAATAAACACTCCATTGTTATGCTCAAGGATATTTTAAAACCAGTAGATTAGTGATGCAAATGTGCATTTAATCTAACCTTGTAATGCTTGCATTAATCAAGGCTTAAAAGAATTAAAACTTTCGTTGAAAAACGAAAAACCCCAGAAAAAAATGGGTTTCTGGTTCGAATTTGGCTTCTGGACAATCCTAGAAGGGTTGAAACAGTTCCAGAATGTCGATTCCACCCAAAATTCACTATTTTTGAGCCAAAATCTGGGTTCGACAGCCAAATCGATAATAAAATCGAGTTTTAAAATTTAATTAAAACGAGCATCTAATCTAATTAGATGAACATGAACCAGAAAAAAAAATTCTTTAAAACACCTCAATTAAACAATAATTGCAAAAATTAAAAGGAGCGTGGCTCCGATACCGCTGTTGGGTTTCGTAGTGACCCGACACTACGCGGAAGGAAACCCACCAAGACCCGCCCCTTAATTAAAGCAATTAAACAAGCATAATTAACTTAATCAAACAAGATTAAGGACAAGAATTATACCTTTGACGCGTGCTTCGCTCCTAGAGAGCTCTTACTTCAAAATCCCGAAAAGACGAGATCTCCGACGGATCGTACCCTCGACCCGACCCGAGCGTCCTAAGTCTTGAAGATTAGTCAAGACCCGGACAAAATAACTATGAGTTTTACGAATCAAAGGTTTACTCTTTTCTAGAGTTGCCTTTTTAATTCCACTCAAGGTTGTATTCTCAAAATCCCAACCAAGTGGGTATTTATAGAGAATAGGGACTTGAAACCCCTTTTCATGATCAATGTGGGATCATGTGCAATTGCAATAATTTATTTAATTCTAAAATAAATAATTATGCAAAACAATCACAAGCCAACAAGTGGCAAAAGGAGAGAATGGGTTAGGTGAGGACCATATCCCATGGGGGGGACCATTGCCTTGCTCCCCAAGGGAAGCTTAGTGGCTTTGGTCCCCACTTCCCCTTCAAACCGCAACTTGCAAGGCAGCTAGGCTGGCTGCCACCTGGCGCTGCCAGCACGCGCCACTATCGCACACATAGCATGCATCGCCCAGCTAGCACTTGCTGGGCATTGCTGGCGCTGGTGCCTTGCTATCGCAGGCATACGCACACAGATATGCGTGGTGCTGCCTTGCTGCTATCGCAGGCACACACACACGCATATGCGTGGTGCTGCCTTGCCATCGCATGCGCAGCCATGCATCGCCCAGCTTGTGCCTGCTGCGCATCGCTGATGCTGGCCATCGCATCCCACGCATTTGCTGGTCGCACATGCCTCGCATCAGCCATGCGCCATGCACCAGCCATGCGCTTGTGGTGCGAGGCTGCTTGTGCGAGGCCTGACATCTTGCTGGCGCCCAGCCTCTCGCATGTGCTGCGATGCTTAGTGCTGCCATGCGAAGGCTAGCACTCAAGCACATGCACATGGCGCGCCATTGCCAGGCAGCCAGCCATGCCAGCACTTGGTGCTTGCGATGGTGCTGCCAGGCCAAGCACACACGCACGCAACACCTAGTGCTTGCGATGGTGCGCCTGGGGCTGCCATGCCCTGCGATAGGTGCCACATGCACCTAGGCACCACGCTAGCATGCTTGCTAGCTGCTATAGGCTGCCTGGTGCCTGTGTGGCCTGCGATGGCTGCCATGCGCACCTAGGCACCCATGCTAGCTTGCGATGGGCTGCCAAGGTGCGCCTAGGCTGCAATGGTGCCTAGCACACCATGGTGCGCCTAGCACACACATGGTGCACCTAGGCATGCTATGAGCTAGCCTAGCCTAGCTACGGCTACGCTCATACTTGTTGCTTGTGATTTTGCGACGCTCGGTATCGACGCCCTAGGCTCGATTTCCGACGTCTGTATTCGTAAAACTCTGTCGACTCATTAAATCCTTTTGTATTAATTCGACATCTCGGATCGGAGATTCGATTGGGTTCGACCCGAAGGGTTCAGTTAAGATTAAGCTGTAATATCAATTGTACCTTGATATCACTGATCGGAAGCAACCTCCACCTAGGCATTCCGATCACTTGACCTTACTGAAGAATTACCTCTGTAATAATTCTGAACCCTCTACCGGAATAATACACTTGTTGGAAGGCACCATTCCTTTCACTAACGATCTTTGAGGAACGATGCGAGCTATCCTTGATTGTCAAGATACTATGGAACAAACAATATAGAGCTTGTTAAGGCAGAGTGCAAGAGCTCCTCCTTCTCTTCATGACTCAGAGGTAGCTTCACCATTGCATTTAGATGATGGAAACGGTGATAGAGAAGCTCTTACCAAGATCGAGGAAGATATTCTTAGGATCAAGGAAGTACTGAAGTGTATGACCAAAGCGGAACCTTGGTTGGATATTCATGGTCTAACTTTATTTTCGAAGGCACGGCTACCATCCGGGTTTAAGATACTGAATCTCACGAGGTTCGATGGTACAGGAAGTCCCACCAATTTCTTGAAACTTTATGTAGGGGCCATGAGTCCTTGGGGTATTGATGAACCTTTGATGGCACAATTATTTCAACAATATTTAGATGGGGCTGCTGCTCATTGGTTTCTTAATCTGGAAAACTCAAAGAAATCTTCGTGAGCTGACATTGTGGGAGAATTTTCTAGCCAATACAAATATGGTGAAGAAATTCATTTAACAAGGAGAGATTTGGAGACTACTACGCAAAACCATAATGAGACATTCTCTACTTTCATCACCAGGTGGAGAAATAAAGCTGCAAAGATGGTAAATAGGCCAAATGAGGAAGAACAATTACAGATGATTGTTGAGAATCTTCTTCCCGTTTATGAAGGACGAATGGTGTTATAGGTAAAAATACCCCAAGGCCACGTGGCCCTATAAGAAGATTCTTGGTGATGACATGTGGCATCCCCAATTCCCGATGCCTTGAGGCCGTCTTTTTCCCAATGTTTTGCAGGCGCTCGGAGTCAGTCTTGGTGTTGTAACTCTCCCAAGGGACATCAAAAACCCTGAAACACCTGGCGTCGTCTGTGGGGAGAGTACTTATAAGATGGCTTCACATCAGTTTTTACCGCCTCCTAATGAGAACTGGCCTACGGACGGACCTGAGGTCTATTCGGACCAAGACAGTGGTGACGACTTTGATGTCGAAACCTATATGGCCGTGGATGGGTCACTCCGAACCAGACGCACTTGTCCCATGGAAATAAGGGAACGAGGAAAAGATCAAGTCGGTCCAAGTGAGCCAACCGAACAGCCGTCTAGACAACACCAGGCGGCAGAAGGCACATCCCCCGTTACTTGAGACGAACTCATGAAATTCATGACAAGTTTCAAGGGGGAGATTAAAGACTTGATCAACAAGAAGACGGCTGGCTCCAGCAAGGGTTAGTCGGCCAAGAACAAACCAGTGAAGGACTGGGTTCCCACTCCACATCCTAAATCAAAGGAGGGGAACCGGTCCCTGATTGATCTTTCTTGAATTCGATTCCCTGAAACAGGAAAGAGGAAGGCCATCCGGCATGTTCAGCCGCATGGCTCAAAAAAGACATATTCTGATGCCCGGTTACTAATTGAGCAGAAGAAAAACCAACAACTGTCTGAATCGGCCTCAACGTCGAGTTACCCAGATAGCTTCCAGAATACCACAATGAGGTATTCTCAATCTGCTAGAGAGAGTCAATCAGGCGGCCTGTCCGTCCGCACTGGCCCTCAGATAATCCATTCGGCCCCGAATGTGCCTCAACAGCCATACATGCCGTATGGACAACCTTCTATGCAGCCATCCCTCTTTGGGGGTCAAGCGGCACAAAATGTCCAACCTTTGGACTGGCAGCTCCGTTTGCTAAAAATTGGGGAACAACCTTCTGCGTGCTCCAAAGAAATAACCAAGGCGGACAGCTGGCCAAGGTTAAATATGATTTGGTGGGTACTTATGATGGTACCACTAACCCTGAAGACCACCTAATGGTTTACACCAACCTTATGTATTTGCAAGGGTTGGACGACGCCACTTGGTGTCGATGTTTCCCAGCCACATTGAAGGGCATCGTCCGAAGATGGTTTGGCAATTTGCCAGCTGGATGCATCAATAGCTTTAAGACGCTTGCGTACTTGTTTGCTTCTAACTTCTCTATGAATATCCCTACTAAGAAAACAAATCTTGACTTGGGTACAGTACAGCAGGGAGATAGGGAAGGGCTACGGTCATACATCAGGCGGTTCAATCAGGTGAGGATTCAGATTCAAGGGCTGTCTGACAAAGTGGCTTATACAGACTTTCACTACTACAAATTTGGCCTAAAGTATCACTAATAAGAAACCCCTTTTAGTAAATAGGGGGTTTTTTTAATAAAAGAAACCTATGATCTAAGAAAAGGGGTCTCTTTAAATGAGATATAAGAGACCCCTTGTTAAAAAATGAGGTTCCTTATTTAGTATTAAAATTTAACCAAACTTAAGGAACCTTTTATACCCAAAACCGGTTTCTTATGTTTTATTTATTAAATTAAAAAAAATGAAAAAATAAAATTGGTAAGTGCAAAACTAGCTGCTTATTTCATTCACCTGTACATTAATCATTTTGCGCTTTACCGTACCGCCACTACTACACTCAACCTTCCATCTTCCTCCATTACCTCCAATTACAATCAACCTCCCATCTTCCTCCATTCAACCAATTTCGCATAAGCCCTTGCCCATCACAAAAGTGATTGCTCATTCTCTTATCAGCCTACTAAAGCCACCATCGCCACTTTTCTCAAGTTTTTGTGTCGTCTAAATTACCGCCGGCACCGCCACAGAAGCCACCAAAACCACCACCGCCACTGAAGCCACCGCTCATCATCTCTGCAGAATTTACATGTTGTTTCATTCTTGGTAATTTTTAATTTCGTATAATTGGTTTTTAATTTAATTAATTTGATGATAAAAATACCCTAATTTTGTTCTGTTGTTAATTTTTTTTTTCGATTTCGTGTGATTGGTTTTATATTACCTATGCAGTTGCTTGGAAATCATACTTTTACAGTAATATTCATAATCGAACCATTGAAATTAAGGGTTAAATTTTATGACTTCTTATAATGTTTGGCGATGGGTTTAAGATAAACAATTGTTGACAATTGGGTATGCATGTATGGCTAAATTAAAATTGAGATTAAGTTTGTCTCTTCTATGTATTTTGGTTTGGATATGTTTTATGGCTTTGGTTAAACGATGTTTTGGCTTGGTTGTTGGAGTTGCTATGGCTGCATCTCTCAAACTCTTTGTGGTTTATTAAGTTTTAATATATTCCCTTTTCTTTTTTTAAAAAAAAGACTTCAATCATATATCCTTAATATATATATTGCATTTTGCACTAGTAGTACTTCAGTATAAAAATATCAAAGAGGTTGTCTCCTAGGACATATATCCTTTACTTATACTAAATTAATATTATTCACTGTTTAGCTTTTGTATTCATTGTTTTAATGGTATATGCAGCCCATTTTGTGTGGATTTGCATTGGACATATCAATTATTTCGACTTTTTTATTGAGGTGCTACATATTTTGATAAGGTAAGTAACATTTCTGCAAATCCTTTTGGCTATCTTTTGTTAATTTAATATGATAGTTATATTGCTAGTTATCTTTATTTTATATGCATGGAAGAAAAGGATAAATAACCACATTTTGTTGCTATCAATTATTACATGGGTCAGATTATATGACATGCCTTTTGATTTTATGCCAATTTGTTTATTTTGAGAAATTTATTATTGTTTACTTGATTCTCTTTTAAGTGGGGTCAATTTTGGTTTTGGCCATCAAGTTTTGGGTTGAGTTTCTACCAGAGTTATAAAAAGGAAAGAATAAAAAAAAAACTAAAATATGTTACTACTTCATTCTCATTTTTTTTTGTTTATTAATCTTTTATTTTCTCACTCTTAACTAAACTGCTCACCTTTGTACACATCACTATAAAATGTTTATTTAATTTGATCAACATTGTGTTAGTTAATTTAATTGTCATATTAAGTGTAGAAATGGACCGAAGTTGGATAACTACATCAAAGCCAGGTGACCCAAAATATGTTGATGGTGTAGAGGAATTTATTACTTTTGCGATGAAAAATAGTAGAGGCAGAGACAAGTTACCATGTCCTTGTTTTATGTGCCACAATCTCTTGCACAAGAGAGTTGATGAAATACTTAATCATCTCAGTAAATGGGCCTTTGATAGAACATATACCCATTGGACTTTTCATGGAGAATCTAGGGAAAGAATTTCTAAGGCCACTTCTATGGATGGTGTAAGGGAGGGTCATGCTAATTATGAAGGTGATCGTTTAGAGGACATGATACATGTAGTTGAGGACACAATCATTGAGGATCCTGCTGCTCTCCATACCTTATTAAATGATTCTGAAATGCCGTTATACCCTGGTTGCACCAAGTATACCAGATTGTCTGCTTTACTTAAATTATACAATTTGAAGGCAGGTCATAGTTGGTCAGATATTGGTTTTAATGCGTTGCTTGAATTATTAAAAGACATGCTTCCAGAAAATAATGTTCTTCCAAAAGGTTGTTATGAGGCAAAAAAGTTATTGTGCACAATGAGCTTGCGTTATGAGAAAATTCATGCGTGCCCTAATGATTGTATATTATATCGTAATGAACGAGAATCATTAGAGAGTTGCCCTGTGTGTAAAACCTCAAGATATAAAAAAAAAAGAAGGTGTGCCGGCTAAGGTATTATGGTAATACCCAGGTTTAGACGCATGTATTCCAACCCGGAAGATGCTGAGAGTTAACTTGGCATGAACATGGCCGTAAAAAGGATGAGTTTCTTAGGCACCCAGCCGACTCCCCTCAATGGTCATTCATTGATGCAATGTTCCCTGAGTTTGGTAAAGAAGAACGTAATTTGCGCCTTGCATTGTCCACCGATGGTATGAACCCTTTTAGCTCCCTTAGTAGCACCTATAGTACATGGCCTGTAATTCTAGTCACTTACAACTTATCCCCTTCTTTGTGCATGAAAGAAAGTACATGATGCTAACATTGTTAATTTCTGGGCCAAAACAACCTGGAAATGACATTGATGTGTATTTAGAACCACTCATTGATGATTTGATCATAATATGGGATAAAGGTGTAGATGTGTATGATGCTCATCGCAAAGAAATGTTCAATTTGAAGGCAATGTTGTTTACCACCATCCAGGACTTTCCAGTTTACGGTAATCTGTAAGGGTACACAATGAAAGGTGGGTCAGATTGTCGAGTGTGTGAAGATGGTTTCAAGGGAGTTTGGTTATATGGATCTGGAAAAACAGCTTATGTAGATCATCAATGTTTTTTTGCCTAGTGATCATAGTTATTGTAAGCAAAAGAAAGCCTTTAATGGGAAACAAATGTTTGATGATCGTCCAAAGGTCTTCACTAGTGAGGAGGTGTTTCAGAAGGTAAAGGATATTCAGATTACCTTTGGGAAAAAAAATTAAAAAAAAACTTCCCAAACAAGGTTACAAGAAGTGTTGTGGTTTTTGGCGTTTGGCATACTGGAGATTCCTTTTTGTGAGACATTCTTTAGATGCAATGCATATAGAGAAAAATGTGTGTGATAGTCTTATTGGTACTTTGTTAAATATCTCTAGAAAAACAAAAGATGGCCCTAAAGCAAGAGCTGACTTAGAAATCATGGGGATTAGAGCTGAACTTTATCCAGTTGAAAAGATAAAAGATGGCCCTAAATATTTGCCTCCCGCTGCTTTTACATTATCAAAGAAAGAAAAAGTTGAATTTTGTGAGAGTTTAGCTGGAGTGAAAGTTCCAGAGGGTTATTCTTCAAACATTCACAACCTTGTTTCCATAGAAAACTTAAAACTTGTGGGTCTTAAGTCCCATGATTGTCATGTCTTGATGCAACATTTGTTACCAGTGGCTATTCGTTCAATTTTACCTAAAAATGTCTGACATGCCATCATTAGATTGTGTTCTTTCTTTAATGCAATCTACAATAAAGTTATTAATCCTAAAGAACTAGATGACTTAGAGGAAGAGATTATCATTATTTTGTGCCACTTAAAAATGTATTTCCCTCCATCATTTTTTGATATAATGATTCATTTGACTCTACACCTGGTTAGAGAGGTATGATATTGTGGGCCTGTGTATCTGAGAGCTCAGTGGGCTTTTGAAAGGCAAATGAAAACCTATAAGGGTTATGTGATGAATGCTTATTACCCTGAAGGTTGTATAGCTGAGCGAGTCCAGTACGAAATTGCTATTGCACTTTGTAGTGAATTTTTAGGAGATGTGAAAATGATTGGACTGCCTATATCTCGTCATGATGATAGGATAGATGGGAAGGGTATCATTGGTTATAAACAAGCTGACTTGTCCAGTGTCAAGTGGATTAAGGCCCATACATATGTTCTGCATAATGAGAATGAAGTAGCACCTTATGTTGAGCAACACAAAACTTTCTTGAAACAAAAGTATAATCGGAAGGCAACTGAGAAGTTCATAGCAAATGAGCATAATCAGACATTTTTTACCTGGTTCAAGGAAAAAGTAATGAAAGAACTTCAATTGTCACTAGAATCTATTTCTGATCGTTTGAAGCGTTTAGCATATGGGCCTAACTTCAGTGCCTCTTTTTATTCTGGGTATATGATTAATGGTTGCACATTTTACACCAAGGATCAAGACGCAATTAGTACTATGCAAAATAGTGGAGTTACTTTAGAAGCTGAAGCCATGCATTTTTCTGGTGTCAAAGATAAGAAACTTGTTTATTGTAAAATGCGTTACTATGGTGTCATAGAAGAAATTTGTGAGTTGCATTACAATGGTTTCTCGATACCTTTATTTGGATGCAAATGGGTTGATAACTCTAGTGGCATTTCTATTGACGACTTATAGGATTTACCATGGTAAATCTTGACAAACAAGGGCATAAAGAAGATCCTTACATATTGGCTAATCAAGCTAAACAAGTATTTTATGTGACTGATCCAGCTGATAAGAGAAAGTCAATAGTTATTTCACCTTCGCATCGATATGCAGTAGATGAGTATGAAAATGATAATCTGGAGGAAGGATTCACCTTTAAGAAGGGGCCACTCGGGGATGATATTAATGGTGATTCTTCAATATATGTAAGACAAGACCATGATGAAGGTATGTGGGATGAAACAGATTCTAAAAAGGCAAAGTCCCGAAAACGTCGTCGTAAATCAAATTCTAGACAAAACTGAGGTGTGTGCTAAATATATATTTAGGATACTGATACGCTATGTCATTCATGGAACAACCTTTCTTTCTCTATTTTATTTTTATTATAGTTGAACTGTGGAAATGTATACACACACACACACACACACAAACACACACACACACACACACACACACACACACACACACACACACACATATCTCTAAGTTTATACCCCCAATTTTTGTATTTGGATATGATAGCTTCTAATAAATGAAATTTGGCAGCTTAATGGCAAAAAAGAAAAAGCATGCAAGTGAATCTACAAACAATGCAACCTCCGATCCAGAAAATGATGCATCTGATACTGAAATAAATAATCGTGAGGAAGAGAGAGGTCGCACTGTACATGCAATTGTGGGGAAAGCAATTCAAAGCGGTACCAAAATCCCTGTGGAATGGCATCCTACATATGGAGTTCCATGTGGTGATAAAAAAACCGCACTACCCTTTCTTCTTATTTTGGTGTAGTTGCTCGTGAACGTGTAAACATTAACTATAAAAATTGGGGTGATGTTCTAAAAGAAATAGTGGATGAAGTGTATGAAATCATCGCAGTAAGCATTTACCTTTGCAAATTCATCATGCTTTTATAAAACTCAACATGCATGAGGTTGTTTATATGTATTACTAGTATCATTACTTTTTACATATTATATGTATTAATAAAAATAACATTTTTTTCAGAAAGGATTTGATGTACCAGAGAAGTGCAAAAAATATATCTTAGGGAGGGCTTCTATTCGATGGAGGGCCTTCAAAACAAGATTGAGAAAGTACCGGCTATACAAGGTACATGGAAATAAGAAAGTGGTAAGGAAAACATCGCCATGGAAATATCCAATGATACTGCAAACTGATTGGAACAAATTTATAAAGACTTATACTGAAGATGATGCATTTCAAGTATTCTTATACTATACAAGTATTTTTTAGATTGTGCTAGGAATGGAAATAAGCCTCCTATCATAGCTATATATGTGAGACGCAAGAAGGGAATTGTTTGATGCTTGAGTTGGTTATTGAGTTTGTTAAAAGCTTTCTGTTATTAGCATTTTGTTAACTGTAGTAATGAGTCTGTTGGGGGCTTAATAGTCTTTACTGTATAACAGAATATGATTCTGTTAAGGGGTTTGCTGAGGTGTCTAGAGTTTGTTATGCTAATAATACCACATAATGTATGAAAGTATGAGAATGGACCAATATTAGCCAAATTTATAAAAAGTGTGGAATATTAGTAGCTGAGTAGGATTAATTCTAGAATTTATCACTGTAAAGATAAAGTCATTTACCCCACGAATAAAGTTGTTGCAACAAATACACCCCCAGGTCTTAATATTCGACTTATTTCAGCAACCTAGACATTAGTTAACACCAAAAAAAGTGATAATTTGATTGTAAGTTTAATGGACCACTCTCCTGGAGAAGAAAATGAAGGAAACAGATAGAAGAAATAGCTAAAATGACTTGATGCAATCTTCACTTTATAACACTTGCTGAATATTAGCAGCGCTGTAAGATATTAAGCAACATGAGTCAAATCAAATGAGTTCAGATCCCTGTGTATAGCATGTTTCTCTAATAAGTATCTTAGCACCATAAAGGATAAACTAGGAAGACTTGTAATTGATTTACAGAGATCAAAGGCCAAGTATATAATTATAAACGGTATATATAAAGAATATAGCCTTTATTAAACTAAGCTACATTAAGAAATTCAAGCTATCTCAACATCAGAATAGAGTTTGAAGGTAACAATGATGTATTACAGAGGATATCTGAACTGCTATCAGAACATCAGAATAGAGTCTGAAGGATTACAATGATGATATAACAGAGGATCTTTGATCATTTATTGGTTTACATTTGGCTAATATTGGTCCATTCTCGAATGAAAGCTAGCTTATATTAGTGGTTACTCTGACCAGATTAATACAGCCCTGATTATAGCTCTAATGCTTTTTCTCTCTCTCTTATAATTCTGTTTTCCTGCTTCCTTCTTTTTTTTTTTTTTTTTTTTTTTTTTCTGTATTACTGTTCTAGTGTCTTGCAGATTGTTTGTATTGATAATATTGTATACTAACTAGGTATGGTATCTAATGCAAAGGAATTAAGCAAAAAGAATCGAGAAAGGTCATTGAAAAAGAATACAAGCTACCGAGGAGGCAGACTAGGATACCTTTACTATGAAGAAGAGATCGTAAGTAGTTGGAAAATCAGTTTAATTAAGTATAAATCTGAATTTTGAGCTGAATGTTGGATTTGTTGCTGCCAAACGTTAGGTAAAAGAACTTCTGAACAAAGGGATTCATGTCACACAAGTTCCTCGACATTTAGTTTGGCTCAAAGCCCATTCTAAAGAAAAAGATGGCCAAATGGTATTTGAGAATCCTGCTGATGATATAATCACGCAAGCAATTGTAAGAATTAACTTTAATTTCAAGTCATTAAAATTGTTAGTTGCAAGTTTCTTGTTTTAAGTTCAAATTATGGGTCATGTTCTGCGTACAGGCCATAACAAATTTTATTAATTATTATTTGTTTACTTCTTTAATAATTTTTTTTATCAGCGTACGTTGGATGCCCAAGCTCAAAGAGGAGAAATAACCGCCAAGGGTCGGGATGACGTATTAGCTAAAGCAATAAATAAGCCTGAGCATGGTGGTCGTGTAAGGGCTGTTGGATCGAGCGTTTCAAATAAGGCATATTTTGGGTACAACCAACCAACAGCTCCAAATCGTATGCAGGCACAAGTCAATTATCTGATGAAAGAGATGGGTACTATGAGAAATGATCAAAACTTTTTGATGTCTTATATTATATCAAGTCCTAATTTCAACCCAGATCAATTTAGACAATTCATGACAAGTGGTGGTGCTTTAGGTGGCCAAAGGTCGGTGAGTACTCCATTTGGGAGTTATGTTGCCCTACTTGGTGGCCAAGGGTTGGATGCTTCCCAATTTGGTTTCCCTATGCAAGGGTTTGGTGGTCCTCAATTTAGTGCTCTTAATGGACAACTTAGTGGCTCAAGTGGCCAAGTAGGTGGATGTGATGTCAATAATGTTGGTTTTAACGGCCTTAGTGCTCATTTAAGTAAACATGTTGGCAGAGACAATGTAGACCTTGAAATAAATGGTACTTTGGAACCTAACCAGGAGGAGATTTTGCCTTACCATGTTCATTGGCCCGAGCAACACTTAATGCGAAGTGATCAAGAAATAGAGCAAAATCGTGCTTCTTCTCCTCAAATAAGTCATGAGCTAATTGATGATGATCCGATTACTCATAATCAATTTAGAAGTGGTCTGACAAGGCATGATCCAGTGTCATTGAACATACTCTTCCCGAGATACATTATTCTTTTTCAATTATTTAATACTCAACCGCATTCTTAGCCTTATTATAAGTATTTCTCATGGTATATCAATTCAAATTGTATATGATAAGGGTTGGAGTGATTGTTCTTGGGCAATTCAAAGTGAGAAGGAGCTACATATTGTTGCCAAAGGAAAGGTGGAAAAAAGAAAATCAGAACAAGTAATTACTGTTCATAATGTTAAGACTGTGACTGGTCTTCTACGAGTCTCGGTTGATCAAGTGGTGATGCCAGCAGCTCTTATGCCATGTCCAACCTCAGAGTTCACGTATGTGTCTCAAGCTAAGGGTAGTTTTGCTCCCTGGCCAAGTCACTTGATTTTTCCAATGATGAAGGTAAAATTTTATTCTTATAATATTACAAAATTATGTCCCGGTTATTCAAGTCTCGGGTTTGTACGTTAGTTTAATCATTTTTCTTTTTGATTTGTGCTTTTACTTTAACGGATGATGAACAAACAGCAAAACTACTTGATCAACCCCTGACTACTCCATCCCCAGAAATACCATCATCATAAGCATCCACTACCCATAAGTATGCCATCAGAGATGAGGATTGTGCTAAGTTAACTACCAGTTTGTTGCGAAAATTCAAAATTGAAGCTAGGAGAATGAAAGAAAATGATGATTGCATATCAATAACAATCCCAACAAGTGTGTATGGACATGAGCAGAAACTTAAAATTGATTATGCATACATTTTTGACTGGTGCTTCAAAGAGAGATTGGAGCTTCACATTTGTTTATCTTTATGAAGTAAATGCCTAATGACTTACCTTTTTTTTTCTATTGCTTTCTAACTATCAGTTTTATATTATTTGTAATAATATGTTAATTGATATGGAAGGTACTTGAGCGAAATGTGTAAACAAGATAATGTTGCTGGAATGTATGGATTTTGCGATATTGGTTGTTTATCTCCGCTGACACCAATGACTGAAGAAGGACGGTCAGACTATTTAGCAAGTGTGTTTGGTCAAAATGAAGGGAAGAATCTTAATCAACTTTTCTTTGCTCCGTATAAAGAAAAGTAAGTGTGAATTATATATAAAACTATTTTTTGGGATGTTCAATGATAATAATGTCAATGTTACTTCTCTTACTAATGTTACATATAGTAGGCATTGGATGGTTGCGATCATTAGTCCTTGGAATGCAATGGTGTTTTGGCTAGATCCAGATGGAGCAGAAAATGAAATTAGTGAATTTGCTCAAAAGACCATCAATGAGTGTGTAGTACATCACATATTCATTATATCTACATATAATGTGCTTAAAATCAGTTTGCTTTCTTTGTGTTGTGAATGTTTAATTTATGAGGACGTATATTGCAATATCGATAATTACTAATTTAATTTTTTTATATTACATTTTTTTAGTGGGATAAAAAAGTTTAGCCAAAAACATCGAAAAGACATTATCAAGATAAAAAAGAATTATCATGTGACATAATTAATTGTTTATTTTTGCAAGTGTCCTCGTCAATCAATAAATTCTTGCGATAGTGGATACTATGTGTGCCGCTACATGCTTGAGACTATAGACAAAAGACGACAAGTGATTCCTGATCAGGTATTATTCATGCATGCATAATGTATATTTATTCTAAAGAAAAAAAAAATTTTGTTTTCATTTTTTTTATTCTGTTTTCAATTTTTTATTCTGTTTTCATTTTATTTTGTTTTCATTTATATTACTTGTTTCTTATATATATTATTCTGTTTTTGTATTCTGTATTATGTTTCTGGGGGAAACATACTCCATGTTTCTGGGGCAAGTTTACAGATTCTATAGCTAACTTTGAAGGCTACTTTAGGATTATCAGCCTGCTAGAAGTGCACTATTTATTCGCCCTAGAAAAGGGTTGGATGTTTGATTGAGTCTGAACCACTGCATTATATGGATGTGAGAATGATCATATCAATAATTTTGGTCAAACTAACTTCCGGAAGTTTTACACATAACTAACATCAGTTATCATAAGGCGTTTATGATTGTTCATTAAGAAGCTGGTCATACATTCTATAATAGCAGTTAAGAACCCAGAAGCTTTTAATTGCTCAACTTTGTTTGTGTTGGCTATGTTCTGATTGTACTAAAATGAGTATCCAGCATATGACGGCATGAATAAGTAAAAGATGCAGGCACCTAAATATTGTGGTTTTGAAAATTCAGTCATTACAACTTTAGTCACATGAACTAAACTGGTTTAGTTAAGGTCAATTTGTCGATCATGTATCAGCTAGGGTCAAGTAATGCGTTACTATGGTGTGTTTTCTTTGTGGTGGGCTTCAATACTTTTTTACACTATAGAAATTTTTCAATTCAGATGAAATAATGCATGCTTGATTTTAAACAGAAATAGGGCATGTAAAGTTAGTTCACATTGTCTTTTTCATGTTCTTCATAGTGTACTTTAACTCAATGTATTTGTAGTTATTAACGCATGTTGTTAATGCTTTATATGTAGTACTTTACCGGAGTATCTTCTTCTTATTCTCAAGCAAAGATTGACAAGCTAAGAGACTTATGGGTTGATTATGTGAACGAGCATAAGCAAGTCGGTGAAGAATATGACGATGGTGTGGATTATGATGAGTAAATTTATATGCATCGCGCTACCATTACAATGTTAGTATTTTATATTGTCTTTTTTCCTTTGGTACCACGTACAACATAAACACTCTAAATTTGTACTCGTAGTAAAATATTTATTTTCAGTGAAAGTATGCAATATTTTATCTTGTACAGTAGCTTATTTTAATATTTTTGTTTATAATTATATATGTATATACAGGTTTGTCACCTGTCGGGTACTCGTTACATTACGTTGCTTTAAAAAAAATTAAAAAAAGAATAAATAAATAAGAAATCGGTTGTCTAACAAATCTTGCCGGCGATTCATTCATATTATTATTATTATTGTTTCGGGGTTTTCTGGTGTCATGCGGGAGAGTTACAATTCCGGGACTGGTACCCTTGCGCCTGTACCTGCAAAACAACGGAGACTCCGGGTGGTGGGAGCTCCGCCTCCGACGATCAAGTTAGTACTTATATGTGGAGTAAAAAGGTGCGGAAAGTAAAGGACGATCTGGTTCCTCTAGGGGAGGAGTGATTAGGAAGAGCAATTAATTGCTAAGTTAGGTCTAGCAATCAGAAAGCACGTGTGTTTAGGTTTCTCTAGGTGAGAGTAATTATTTCTGAATAGTCTTAAATGGAGGCTTAATTACTGTATTTATAGCCTCGGGATGCGTGCCCAATATTAGGTTTAGATCAACCTAGGGCTGATTGGGCCTTTCTCGGAAACCGGGCCTTGGTGGCTGTTCTCCTGGTGGGCTGACAGCATGCCACGTGGCGTGGCGCGATTGGTCCATGCTAAACTGATTGTTGCTTGACACGTGTCAAGTCCTTGTTGGTCCATGTGGCGGACACATGGTAGGATCTGATTGGTCCACGTGACAGACAGTGATTGGGCGGGGAAAAATTCCCTAATCATTTGCCCCTCACAGGTGGCACGTGACTGGTCACATGTCACCTGTGACAGGTGTCGGCCTGCAACAGGCGACGACCTGCGACAGGTGGCGGCCTGTGATAGGCCGAGAGTTTTTCCCGCCTTATTTCAAATTTGGAAGTGACCCTTCGCATTCTCATTTTACCCTATATAAGGGCATGTTGACCAAGTCTTTTGTTCACATTTTGCGAACTTTGCAAGAGAACTCTCGGACCCCTGAACTTGAGCTCTGATTTTCTGGACGACTGATTCTACCAACCGCTTGCTTTTACTAGACGCCTGTTCGACCAAGCTTCTTCTCAGAACTTAAGTTTCAGGTAACCGTTTGTTTCTTTATTCTTTCTGTTTTTTTTTTTTTTTTTTTTTTTGTTTTTTTTTTTTTGAAAATGAGACCCCAAAAGCATCCGGCACGGCCTAGGTTAGCAATCAGCCGGTCACTAGGGACGGCTGAGTCTAGGACTAGGGGTGCCGACTGCCTTGCGGTACTTCAATCTTTGCGCAAGTCCCAGAAACCAACTGTCTTTGTATCTACGCAGGATAGTATGGCAAGAACCATAAGAACAAAGAGGATTGAAAACTCTGATGGCTCTTCATTCCGGGTCCAAGTTAGTGAACTATCGGACCGGACGCCTGATACCGCTGGTACCCCAGGTGACTCTGTCACGGGGGGCTCTGAGGAGGGGGTTAAGGTGGCCCCTTCTAATGCTTTTGTTGGCCTAGCTGGTCAGCAATCGGCCCCTTCTGAAGAAGAGGGGTCGGCCCCCTCAGGGAGAGGGGAGTCGGACTCTTCTGATAGTGAATCTGAATCCAGCTCTTCAAGCTGTCTTTCTCCAAGTTCGAAGGAAAGGCATTCTCGCTTACATGAGGCGAGACTATCTCATTCAGTCGACAAAGGGGTCGACTGGTCAGAACCACCCTCCTCCCATAGGGAATTGAACACCCCTTATTACTGTCACGTCCTAAAAGGTCGAATCAAGGCCATGAAGGAGCGAATAGGGACCTTTCTAACAGACCATGTGATGGGTCCGAACTTTAATTTATTTATGCCGGATACTGAAGATACAGTCGTTTGGCCCGCGGGGTCTAGTTACAGGGACGCCTGTTTTGGCTGCTATGAGGCGGCCATTAAGGCTGGACTCTGATTTCCCTTGCATTCGGCAGTTTAACAAATCCTCGACGGGTACGAGGTGGGACTTTGGCAGTTAGCTCCAAACTCCTGGTTCAACATCCTTGACTATGTAGCCGGATGTGAAATGCATGGGGTGGACCCCAATTCTGAGGCGTTCACCCATATGAACTATTTAAGCCGGACCCCCAAAGAAAACGGTACCGGCTGGTATCAAATAGCAAGCCACAAGGGCTATTTGATGACTAGGGGAAAGGAAAATAAGTGGAAAGATTGGAGAAACACTTTCTTCCTCATCTCCAGTCCTGACAAACTTCTGAACAAACGGTACAACAGGTGGAATAGGGATCCACCTCTTCTTATAGGCGGCCCTAGCATGCCGCCTGTTCCTCGTCAAGCAAGGGAAGAGATCCTTGACCGAGGACTCTTCAAAGTAGAGATTAGAGCCAACTTTACTACTGGGGTACGGGAGCAGGTGCCTTTGAACCGCGTCCCCAAATTCCAATGGCTGTATGATGAATATTTTTTGGCCGCCTGTGGCCTGAGCAGTCGGACCTCCAGAGGTAGCTGGACTTTTATGCCTGTATATGCATCATTTGATTAATTTTTTCAAGTTTTATTAACTCTTTGTTGCCTATTTTCAGTCGAAGCTATGGACCACATCTCTACATCAAAGAAGGCAGCCGCCCTTCTTCGGACCTCTATTATGAGCCTCAAGTGGCCATCATCTGATTCTCTTGCCAAGGAGACGCCCAAGGTGAGCTCTGATCTTTCGAGTTTTTATCTGAAATCCTCTTTTTGCCAGTACTAACTTTCTATGCTTTTGCAGATGGGCTCGTCCAAACCCTCTTCCTCCCAGCAGTCGGACTCAAAGGTTCAGAAACCGACAGCTAGGAGTACGCCTGGCTCTGCCAGGAAGCAGGCGGCTGAAAAACAGCCGCACACCCCACAAAGTGGGGGAAAACAAACACATGTCCCAAGGGATAGCCGACCTCCAAGAGGTATAACCAGCTCTCTCGATCTTTGTTTGATTTTTCTTACTTTGATATTCTTTCTTTTGTTTTTTTTTTTTTTTTTGTTTCGGAATACAGGCGGCCATCAAGAACCAAACATGGTCCAAATGGTCAAGTATATGGTGAAAGCCATCCCTCTAGAGGAGAGGGATGCAGTCAAGGGAGTCGGCACCCTTGACCTCGACGGAATCATGAGTCTCCTCCCCAAGGTATACTTAGCATTTTTGTAATGTTGAATGACTTTGCCTGTCGCCTGTTTTTGCAAATCTGACGCCTGGTGCTCTTTTTTTTTAGACCATGCTTCGTGTACATGGCCTCCGTAGGCCGATTAACGCCAAAAACAAAGAGGTAAAAGCTGCCAAAGCCATGGCCGCCTCTGACTTTGACAAGGCAATGTTTCAAATTGCCCAAAATGAAATTTTAACAACTAATATTCTTTATTATCAGGCGGCTGCCACTTCGGAGATCAAAGACAAGTTGGAGGCGGCCAATAAAAAGAGCCAAGAGCTGGAGAAGACGGTCAAAAGCCTCCAGGACGAGTTGCAGCCACTTAAGAACATTGCTCATAGGGCTAAGAGTCTCCAGAAGTCTTTGGACAAGGTTAAGGAGCACCTAGAGAAGTAGGAGGCGGCCATCACTGAAGAGCTCAAGGCCAAGGCTGAGATTGAGAAGATGGCTTTAGCTCAAGCCATGATGGAGGACTCGGCCAATATTATGAAGATGACCTGGTCGGCTCTCTTTCCAAAAGCTAACTATGCCGAATGGGATTCCAAGTTCACCGCCTGTACTGAAGAGTACAATAGAAGAATCATGCAGCAGGCGTCTGACGAGGATGAAAGAGAAGAGGAGGAGGCGGCTAGCTCCAACTCAGGCGAGGATGAGGAGATGGTCGATCAGCCAACGGAGGCGGTTGCTCCTAAGGATCCTGCCCCTGAAAACGAGTCAAACAAAGAGGATGCCTTGAAGGATCCGGCGCCCGTAATTGAGCTCGATCAGGCGACAGTTAACTCCGAAGCCCCTCCCATTGTTTAAAGCTTTTATTTTTCCAACTTTTCTCCGGCCTGTGTGTCGTTTGTATGTGAATTTTCTTTACCCGACCATGGGGTCGGGGTTATGAATATTTTGCTGGTCATCATGGCCGGCTGTTTTATTATGAAGCTGGCGACCACTTTTTGGTCGTCTTTGATCACTGAATCTTGTTTATGCTTATCTGCTTGATATCTGCTTGAATGCCAAACCGACTGTTTTAGCTTGTAATCTGTTTCTTGAAATGATCAAAATTTTGAAAACATCAAAATTTTGAAAACTTTGCGAGTTGAAAATTTTTGCGTGTAAGCGAGGTTTATCAGGTACCGACTACTCACGGTGACGACTGCATATATGCCCCTGGGCGACTTGTTGTCTATGTTCCAGATTGGCAACTAGTCGGCCATGAAACCAGTCGGACCCCCAACGCATTTTTTAGCAAATACGTTAGGTCTCTTAATTTTTGCAAGTTTGAAGGGAACAGGCTGCTTGTTGTCAGGCCGCCTATTTGATTAAGTAGGAATAGTGTTCTTGAGCCCCTGTCTGCCAAAAAAACAGTCGACTGTCGAACTTTTTGGATCCACACTTTTGTTTGAGTAGTAGGGTAACCAGGCGGCGTAGGCCGGCTGGTCCCCTTGATTCGCCAAGTTTTGCTTGGCTACTAACTCAAAGGCTGGTAACCTAGTAGGAATAGTGGTTTGAGTACCTTTGTTTGCTAAAAAACAGTCGGACTACTTATACCTTTTAGGTTGCATACTAAGTTTGAGAGAGTGACTATGAGTCAACATCGGAGTTTACGCAGTCTCCGTCACCCTAGCTTGAGTAGTAGAGGTACCAGGCGGCGAAGACCAGCTGATCCCCTTGATTCGCCAATGTTTTTTGGCTATTAACTCAAGAGGTACCCCCTGTATTTATCCCAAGTGATACAGGCGGTCATTCGACTCGGATGTCAACTACTACCTCTGGCTCGGTTAGTGGTAGAGTTATCCTTGTCTCAGTTGTAAACGGCTACGTGGTTGTCCTTGGGGACAGTTGTTTAGGGACCGTGTGTGTAGTTTATATAGCATTATTCCACCCAAAAGGGAGTTGCTCTCTCCGATGAATCTCATCCGGAGGGATGTCGCTGGACGCCTGCTATGATGTTGGGACAGGTCGTATTAGTTTAATTTTAAGAGAGGATCAGTTGGCAAGGCGCCTGAGCTGATCATCCGGCCATAGGACTTGTTTAATTCATGGTGAATAAAGGCGGTAAGTTATCTTCAACTACAAGAATAGGAGAGTAGCCGACTGTAAAGTTACAGGCGGCATGCCCCTCTGAAACAGTACAAAGTGAAGAAAATGGAGAGTAGCCGATTGTTTGTCCAGTCGGCATGCCCCTCAATTGGTGCAAACTGGAGAGTAGCCGACTGCTAATGGAGCAGGCGAATGCCTCTCTATTTATTTATAATATAAATGAAGCACATTTGCAAGTTTTATTAGTTGTTCTCGGCAATTACATCATTCAAAAATAATACTTCTTTCAATTATCAACATTCCAAGTTCTAGGTAGGGGTTGGCCGTCTGGTGTTTCCAGGCGGTAGGTGCCGTCCCTAACCTCTTCAAAGATTCGGTAGGGTCCCTCCCAGTTGGGATTTAATTTGCCGAACTCATTGGCCCTACCGACCGCTTCCATCTTTCGTAGTACAAAGTCCCCCACTTTGAGTGGACGCCTGTGTACCCTTTTTTTATATGCCCTTGTCATCCTCAGGCGGTAGATTTGATGGCGTAGGGCTGCATTGCCCCTACGTTCTGGGAGTGAATCCAATGCCAGGCGCATGGATTCCCAATTTGCTTCTTCATCATACAACATTATACGAAGAGTCGGCTCATAGTGTTCAATTGGCAGAACAGCTTCTGCCCCATAAGTTAGGAGGAATGGAGTTTCTCCAGTTGCCCTTTTTTCATTCGTCCTGATGGCCCAGAGAACATGCGGTAGTTCGTCTACCCATAGACCGCCTGCTCGTTCAATCTTCTTTTTGATACCGTCTGAGATGATTTTATTGAAAGCTTCCACTTGGCCGTTTGCTTGTGGTCGGCCGACTGATGCAAAGCAGTGAGAGATACCTTGGTCTCCCAGCCAATTTTTGAGAACAGGCATCTCAAACTAGGGACCATTATCAAAAACCATAGACATGGGTACCCCAAATCGAGTGATGACATTCTTCCATATGAAGGAGATGACGTCCTTGGTCTTGATACCAAAATGAAATAGTCGACTCCAACCAAAATGTACCTCCTGCTGCCTGTTGCAGGCGTATAGGGCCCTAAGATATCCATGCCCCACTTAGCAAATGGTATAGGACTATGGAAGGCCATGAGGTCAGTGGCCGGATGATGGATTAACCTGTCAAACCTTTGACACTTGTCACATTTTTTCACCATCTCCATGGCGTCTGCTTCCAAGGTAGGCCAAAAGTAACCTTGCCGCCTTGCTCTTTGAGCAAGCGACCTGCCGTCTACGTGAGAAGCGCAGTACCCTGAGTGTAGATCTTCTAAGACCTCTCGTCCTTTTTCTGGGGTAACACATTTTAAGAGGGGCTGAAGATAGCCCTTCTTAAAGAGTTCTCCCTTGCACATTTCAAAACTGGACGCCCGTTTTTTCAGTAGAGCCGCCTGGGAGTGATCACATGGTAAGGTGCCGGTTGTTAAATAGGCCCTAATAGGGTCCATCCAGGTTGAGCTTCTATCAAGGATTTCAATAGGTTCTTCTTCAATGCTTTGCTTCTCCATAACTTCCCAGAAAACGGTCCTTGGAGTGTCATAGGAGGCCGAGGATGCCAGTTTAGGGAGGGCGTCCGCCTGGTTATTCTCGGACCTAGGTACTTGAGTTAAATGACATTCCTCAAGAGACCCGACCGCCTGTCTTACCGCGTGTAAATATTTAATCATGGCCGGATGGGTAGCTTCATAATCACCATTATATTGACTTACTATCAATTGTGAGTTTAAACAGGCGGCTATCTTCCTTGCCTCGGCCGCCTTGCACATGCGGATGCCGACCATCAAAGCTTCATACTCTGCCTTGTTGTTCGAGGCTTGGAAGTTGAATCGTAGAGCATACTCATACCTTTCGCCTTCGGGCGACTGACATATGATGACTGTTCACAACCATTCATAGTGGAGCTCCCGTCCACATAGATCTTCCAGACTTGGTCTGGAATTGTGGAATCAGAAGGCCGAGTCATTTCTACTATGAAGTCAGCAAATGCTTGCCCCTTCACTGCTTTTCTTAGCTCGATAGTGATTTCAAGGCTCTGTTATCGCCTATTTGGTCATTCGGCCTGACGACTCCATGGTAGTCAGGGCCGCTTGATCGGTTGGTCTGTGTATACCGCGACTGGATGCGCCAAAAAATAGGGCTTTAACTTTCTAACTGCCATGAAGAGGGCAAGGCCAAAATTTTCAACCAGGAGGTATCTTAACTCAGCATCCTTCAAGACGTGACTCACAAAATAGTCTGGGAGCTGGCAGCCGTCCCTCTCAGCAAGGAGGACGACACTTAGAGCATGATCAGACACTGCTAGATAGATATACAACACTTCTTTAGGCAAGGGGCTGACCAGCCTTGGCAAGGAATGCAAGTGTTCTTTCAGCTTTTGGAAGGCCGCCTCAGCATCCGGCCCCCATTCAAACATAACTTTCTTTTTTATTGCCTGAAAGAAGTAGAGGCATTTGTTGCCTGCCCGGCTGAGACATCTCCCCAGGGCCGCCAGACAACCTGTTAATTTCTGGACCTCTTGGACAGTGCGGGGCGACTGCATGTCTATGACCGCCTACACCTTCTCGGGGTTAGCCTCTATACCCCTTTGATTGATAAGAAATCCGAGGAACTTCCCAGACTCAACTCCAAAAACACACTTCTTGGGATTGAGCATGACATGGTGCCGCCTGAGTGTGGTGAATGTTTCTCGGAGGTCAGCCAAATGGTTCGTCTGGAGTTTGGATTTCACAATCATATCATCTATGTACGCCTCCACATTCCTCCCAATTTGATCAAAGAAGACCGTGTTTATCATTCTTTAGAAGGTGGTCGGGGCGTCCTTCAGACCAAACGGCATGATCGTATAACAGTATAATCCCTGATCTGTGACAAAGGCTGTTTTCTCTTGGTCCTTCTTCCACAGGGGAATCTGATTGAAGCCAGAGTAGGCGTCCATAAAACTCATTAAGGCGTGGCCAGCTGTAGAGTCGACCAGACTGTCGATCTTGGGCAATGGATAACTATCTTTGGGGCACGCCTTGTTCAAGTCTGTGTAGTCCACACACATGCGCCATGTACCATTTGGCTTTTTCACGAGCACAACGTTTGCAACCCAGTCAGGGAAATAACATTGCCGAATGAACCCTGCATCAAGTAACTTTTTAACTTCGGCGGCAGCCGCCTGGCTTCTTTCTTTTCCATAGTTCCTTATCTTTTGCCTGACCGGCTTCTTTTTCGGATCCACAGCCAGCTTATGTACTGCCAAATCTGGACTTATACCTGGCATCTTATGTACCTCAAATGCGAAGATATCCTTGAATTCCTTCAAGAGTTGGTGAAAATCACCAAGCACAGCAAGAGCAGTCGTCCCAACCTTAATAGTTTGGTCAGGATGCAAGTCGTCCAGAACGACGTCCACATGCTCACCAGTCGGCTGAGGGTAGAACTCATCTGACCGCTCCTCGGCAAGTGATTGCTATCGTGTTTCTTTTCTTTCGACCCCCAGGTGGGCGGCCTTTCTCTTCTTGCCGCCTACTACTTGAGCAGGCGCATCATCCTTGATTTGATCCAGGTCAAACTTCTCTCCACTGGGGCTAGCAGCCGCCACAGTGGGTTTGATATCAGAGAGATAACACTCTCTAGCCGTTTTCTGGTCTCCCCTTAGGGAGCCGACTGTTCCATCACCCCTCTAAAACTTGAGGAGCATGAGAGAAGGTATGATGAAAGGTTTTGAATTGTTTAGGGTGGGTCGCCCCAAGATCATGTTGTATGCCGAGAGCTCTTCGAATACCAAGACCCGGACCACCATGTGACGGCCCTCCCCTTTCTCACCCAGGCGGATAGGCAGATCCACCCGTCCAACTGGGTGGACGACTCCTCCTCCAAATCCTACTAAAGGATGGGAGACAGGTCGTATG